CAATCAATTTGTACCTGGTTTGATTAGTTGATTATAAACCTGTATCATTTTGAATAGTTCTCATAGTTGTGTCATCTTCATTCAGTTAGATATTTAAGCCAGTTTATTCAAATTTGGGGCAGGATCACAGTGTTTCTTTGTGCCAGATAAAAGATCTGGTTCACAACCAATCAGATGGCTAGATTTAGACAAAGCATGTTGTGCTCGTTAATTGGCTTGTTTGAATGAACTGCCATTGAAATATTCATCAAAACCAACGAGAATGGGTTTGTTTGGTTGTCAGTACAGACAACAATCTAATAGTCTTACTTTATAGATGTATGTACTTCAGTTAATATTCCAGAGTCATTGTGAAGTATGTGTTTTAATATAATTTAACAATATATTTTATATGTATTGTATGCAACACACGAGACACATGCTAAAAGTGATGTGATTACTGGCACTGTATGGCATTTGACTTCAATTGCTCGTTTGCATGAAGTCAGATGATAAAGTGGTTATGTATGACTGATCATCCTTCAGCATCTGGCATCTACTTATTGTTAACCTCAATGTCATCAAAAAAAGACAAATGACACCATACATCATCCATATCCACCATTTTTTTTATCAGCTACTTCAATTTCCAAAAATTTAGCCAGATAGATTCATTTATACTCTGTATTTTCCATAACAGTTCACTTGTCTATCTGTTTTGTTGGTGAATGTTTTTTGTATATTCTCTTACCGCCATCTTAAACTTGTAATTCTTGTACCTGAATTTCTTGTATACATTGTACCGATATAGTCACGTATAGATATAATTATGACAGCTATCTCTTTTTTTGCAATATTAGTGCCAAGACCTTGAAACTAGCCACCAGATTACTTGGATATAGTAGATGCTTCTCCTTCAATTTTGCTATCTTCAATATATTGAATATTTTAAATTTTAAATTATATTGAATGTTTTAAATATTTTTGGTAATTTTCAACATTTTGAAATACCACTGGCAGGAAATTTGTTACGTAGTTATTTTGGCTGGACTCTATGACTTTAATTCATTGTCTTGATTCACAAGTTACTTGTTTTTTATTCCCCATGAAATGGAACTTTCACAGAGAAACCTAATTATTTATTTAAAAAAAATATTTTTTTGGCAACAAATTCCTAAAATGAACTGTAACATTGTAACCATGCAATAATATTGAGTCTGTGCACACTATTTAGAAGTCTATTTTTAATCTAATACATAATATGCACGATTTATTTCAACAATTCCAGCTGTTAACAATGCTCTCAATAAGTCCAATACCATATTTGCTCTATTAGTAGCGCATATGCTTACGTAAATTACAAAGATGTTTCTATAGTCAAATAGAAAAATATTTAAATGATTCTACAATCATGTGATTATATCTGCTACTATTAGAGATGCACTTCTAATAGAGCAAATATGGTACATTAATAAAATAAAAAAAAAAAATAGAATGACTACTAAAACAAATCTATGCATATTAATTTTCTAATTTAACATTACTATTATTCTAAGTTGAAACTTGGCATATCATCACATGTACTGGTGTATTCTTTGAATTTGAACCTCCATGAACACACCAATACAATAGATTTGTATAGACAAAATATAATTGGTAGAGATAGACATTATGTGTGATCTCAGAAATTTGTAGTACAAATGAACTTGACCTCTCCAATAAACGCATAGATCAACACACAATGAACCCAATCACAAGCGGCTAATGAGCAAATTGATTGGTCGATTACAAATATGCCACAATCATAAGTATTGTCTGTCATCAGATACCATAAGTGAGTGATGACCTTGAGACAGTACTATGGTCACAAAGCCCTGGGGCAGACATTGCAAATGATTGATCCATTATCGTAGAGGTCGTACAATGAAAAGTACAATGATTATAGGCTACACAAAACAGTCAGTAAAGTTTTACACCTCTTGCAATGCAGGTTAAATTGCATAATTTTGCATACATTTCTACTAATATCTTACAAATGTGTAACAATAAAGTTACACTTGAAAAACACCAAACCCACCACAACACAGACCATCACTGGTTTCCAACTTTGAGTTTATGCTGTTGCCATGACATTAACAGTCTCAAAGTTATCATATATCCAGTGTTATAAGTAGTCCTTCATTAGAAGTATACGTGTTGATATGGATTTATTCCCTGACTGATTGAAATACTTTTAGAGTGACCATCATTTTTTTCTTTCTCATATATAACCCATTAACATTTTCAGCAGCGAAATTAAAATTAAATGGTTTAACAAATAAAGTACATTGCATGTATGCGGCTTTGACTTTCAATCTTGTTAATTTAAGCACAGGGGTTATCATCTGTGCATGCAAAAAATGCAAAGGCTCATGGGTAGATGTTTATTTGTAAACAATGACGTGCTATGGCAGTCTGTCACATGTGTATGTGATGACTTCCCAGCTTTAAGTGACTTTTGGTTATACTTGTAGCCACAATCTGGATTACTGGTACATTATTGGTTGCTTTTAAAAATATTTTTCTATTTTCTTTTTACAGCAGGCTCAATTTTGTTATCTATAACATTCAAAAATAGGTCACTCTACTATTACTGAAAAACTATTAATGAAAAAAAAAGTGCACTATCAATCACATCCAGTATTATGATACAGTGAATGCTATACTACTGAACTAAAATAACAATAAAAATGTACATTATATAAATCAAATTATGTAATTAATTCTATTATTTGCATATTAATTAGCTGATATCAGCATGGTGAATTTAAATGATAATATTACAATTATAAATATGCTAAAATCTGTCTGAAGTAGGCCTCTTTGTAAGCAAGAAATCTGTCTATACTGAGCAACATATTCTTTGGATAGTTCTTTCCCATCTTGAGTCCATGATTCAAAATATATACTGTAGAATACTTTAATTTTTGCATGGAATTAATTTTTGCAGAAGAAATGATTCTGTGAAAATAAAATTCAGCGAATATACCTTTTTTCCTATATTTTGCATTCAACTTGTCAAAAATCAGTGAAAATAAATTCCACACAAAGCATCAAAAATGTCTTTTCAGTGAAAATTAATTCCAGCTAAAATAAAGTATTTTACAGTATTTAAATCATCAGGATTCAAGTTTTGGCCTCAAAATACAGATTGAAGTTGAAGCCCTGAGGTTTTGACAGGCTTCACTTTAATTAAAAAATTGTTTCTCAACAAAATCTGTACAACCATTGCAGGATTCAAACTCAGAACATATTATAGCCATAAACAATTTTGTGATTATATCAAAGTATTATTCTTTGTTGTCATATATCCTGTGTACAGTTGATCAACAGATTTTCCCAAACATGGGTGGGTTTGAAGTTGACACATTTTCGTGTGAGAACACATTCTTCTGTTTGCTTAGGGCAAACTATGTTAAAACTACCCCCTTTTTTTATTTTTTTAAAATATACTTCCTGACACATTGTTTAATTTTCTTGAGTTTAAGAAAAATGTAAAGATTTTTTTCTAAATGAACAAGTCATGTTTTACTTTTTGTCCATAAAGTCCCATTACCGATATACCATAATTATTTTAAAAATATGGTCCATTTTTTTAACACATATGACCTTGTGTCCCAATAAACATTCTAACCTCCCCTCCCCCAGTGTTCGCAAAATATTTATAAATTCTCAAGACTTTCGTGAAACTGTATTGCAACATTAAACTGATAAAAGTGCAACTGGTGTTGAGTATTTTAAAGTCGGTTTAACTCCCACAAATTCAAATACTGAAAGTCGTTACAGTTGAATTCTGATTTAATGTAAGTTCATACCTTGTATGCCATTAGCTCAATTCATTCCACTGTAGTAGTACAGTAGTTTAGAAGGAACTTGACCATTAATAACTTTTGTCTGTTTGATCACCTAATCAGTCTTGCATTAACTAAGGTGAAATTTGGTTTGCAGTTTTTGATTAATAACAAATAAAAACATGAATTAGTTTGTAAACAATTGATATGATTATTCCGTTCAATATCTGATAACTTTCTCATTCATGGTTCCATTATATCTACCAGCTGTAAGCAAGTAGATAATTTTTAACCCTCTACTAATATTAAAAAAAAGTTTATTGCTTCAGTCATAACAATAATCTTTCACATTCAAATTAATGTGAAACAATGGTTTCTATTATGTTTTGGATTTTTTCTCCATGGTTGAAATTTACGTGCAAACAATGGTTTTTATTGTGTTTGAGTTTTTTCTCCAGGATTGAAATTCATGTGTAACAATGGTTTCTATTGTGTTTTTTTCTCCAGGATTGAATTTCATGTGAAACAATGGTTTCCATTGTGTTTTGTTTAATATTCAACTCAAGTGTAACTATTTTAAATGAATTATATGACAATAGGGTAGTGAATAATTATCGAGTACTGTAGAATAATTTATTTTCCCTGTAATTTATTTTCACTTAAAGCATTATGTACTGTAAAATGACTAATTTTCACTGGGTTTAAATTTCACTGATTTACCATTTCAGGCATAATCAGTGGGTTTTAAATTCACGGTTTCGTCATTTAGATAATGTGTTCTATGTTAAATTTTACATATTCACTGTGTTTTAATTTAGCGCATTTTTCCAGTCAGCGAAATAAGCTAAATTAAAACCCAGTGAATAATTACCCCCTTTACAGTAATTTATTTTCACTGGCTTATGAGGTTGTACATGCATAATATAGCATTATTTTCACCAATCCAGCAAAAATACTGAAACTAAATTCCAATTGGGTATTTTACAGTACAATACATATGTCTGAGTGTATGATTAAAATATACAATATTTGCTCTATTAATAGTGCATACACTTATGTACATGACAGAGGTGTGGTCAAAATAAGAACCGGTAATATTTTATTGATCCAGTATAGAATAAATGTAATTTTTGGTTAAGTGTGTTGCTATTGGACATGCACTTAAAATAGAGCAAATACAGCACAAATATTTCACATAAATAAACTTAATTCGTCATAGTATTCATCTAAATCTACATCTTTATAATATTTTATACTTCGCTGCAAGGAATCTTGGAATCCATATAGTGGTTGGTAATCCAGATTTCTCTTTGCCAAATTGCAATTAAAGGACTGCTCAATAAGGAAAAAGACTAATGCATGCGTGGATAGCCGTATATTGATATTCTTGAATGGTTGAACTATGTAGCAGAACATTTCCATCATCCAGATGAATAAAAATGCCAGCCAGTAAGGGATTGTAAAAAATGCAGTTGTCCAGCCTCTTGCTTTGATGAATGGCTCAATAAAATCAAAAAAGTTCTGAACTGGGGTATCATCAGTTGCCATGTATACCCTGCCAGATATTTTTTCATCAACGTTGTTTCGGGTACTTCTGAGCTTTTTCAACTTTTGCCATGCCTTGATATGCATCCATGCTGTATTACCCACGTACGTCTCCTGATGTTTGGGATTTCCGAAACCAATCTTTGGCAGAAAAACACCGAACATTCTAGCTATAATTAATCCATGTATAACAGTGTGACCGTCTTCCTCCCCATACATCGAAGTAGGACGAATAACTATAGTTTTAAACTTTCCTCCATTTTTCAGCACCTTATTATTTCCTTCCAATGCAATGAGCTCACTCAAATACTTAGATTTGGCATACGCAGAAAGATTCTCTTTTACCTTTACAGTCTCATCCCCATTTACTATAGGTGCATTGCCTACAACTACTGCCAATGAGCTGGTGTGGATTAATATAGGCACGTTATTTTCCATGCATGCATCTACCACATTCTGAGTACCAATTACATTGATGTTTGTCAATTTGGATGCATCAGGCTTCAAAGATATATCAATAATGGCTGCAGCATGGAAGACGACATCAACACCACGGCATGCTCTGCTAATTTCTTTTAGTTTAGTAACATCACCACGAATATGACGAAGCAGCACTCCAGGACTGCACTGCTGTAGCCATGGTGATTTGGGTTGTCTGATATCAAATGTCCGTATTTCTTTCACACCAGTGCATTTCTCTAACACTAGTCTCAATATGTGCTGACCTAGAAATCCAGCCCCTCCGGTAATCAAAACTGTTTCACCAGCTTGTGCCATTGTCTACATGTGCAGCAACTGTAACTATCACATTAATGAAGGCAGTGCTCTGATACCAGCTTTTTTAAATAGAATATTAAGCTTAAGTGGAACCACCCTACAATGCTTCTCAAATGTCATTCATGAGTGGGCGTGTACTCGGGTAGATGATTCTGATTGGCTAGTGAATGCAAATGTCACACAGAAAGGTTGCACATTCCCAATGGTGGACACTGTTGGATGATTTTATTTCAGTAGGAATTATATGAGTGATATATATGTCGCTTGGAATGCATTAACAAAATTGTTGTTCTGATTCCATTGATAGTTTTTGTTATTATATGTTAAATATTCTTAGAAATAAATCAGAGAATTTGTCTGTTTAGACTAGGATTAAAATAAATGAAAAAATATTCAATAAACCTTTTTTTAGAGTGAACAGTTAAAGATAAAGTATGATTATAATACTATGTGTGCGTAAATGCGTGCAAGTACAAATAATAAAAACAATAACAATAATATTATTACAATTTTATTTGACTAAGCTCTCACTGTATTCCTTGACGCCCAAATTATCATAATGAATTTTTTAATTAACATTGATGTTTCTTTCCCAAGAGTAATGTTCACTAAATATCACTAAAAACAAAAGAAAATCTAAAGCTCCAGTCTTCTTAAATTAGTTAAAAGTTTATTGTAAATTTAAGTAAAATGTTCTTCTGATCTTGGTAAAAACTTTTACAAGTGAAAAGAAAATGAAATAAAGTTTTAGTTTCTCCTTTACATCAAATACAACCCCATTCCCAGTTAACCAACTTTAATTTATTTCCTTCTAAATCCAAAGAATTTGACCTTTAGTTTCTCAACAATGTTTAATGTGCTTTCAAAAGGAGAGTGGCACGAAAATGATCAAGGGGTCAATAATATACTCTTCTCGATCTTTTGTTGTGTTTTTTAATCTCAACATAGCACAATTTTTGTAACATGATGGCATTCTCGCATTGAGTGATATTTCATTTGTTTAATTTAATATTTAAAAAAAACTTCATGATGAGGATCCATAAAATTGGTTTGCTCACCAAATTTATATCTCGAATTTTCAAGCTGCATCTTTTGGTAAACCACTACTAGGAGGGAGGAATGTCTGAGTGGAACAATGCTGTGCACACGGACAATACCACGTTTAAGACAACCCATTGTGAACTACCGGTATACTCACTGTAGACTGTAAGCCCATCACAATGTCTGATCAGTGCTGGGGGGGGAAAAAGTGTTAGAAACATTCAAACAAATATCATTTCATGGTCATTCAGAGGAGTTAATTATAGTTGCATTCATGAAATGCGAGTGATCATGCATTGTGCCTCTAATTCTCTGTTCTTTATGCTGTTGAGGTGTACATGTTAATCGAGGAAGACAGACGATTAAATAAAATAACAGTATATATATTCTTGGGTTTTTTGGATTCACTGTATTGTCACTGATTTGCTGTAAAATGAAATGAAATAAACACTAAAATAAACGAAACTTAAGTGAATGATACAAATAATACGGTAACAGTTACATGTGCTCATTACATAAACCGATAACATTAACCTTTGACCTTTAACCCTTTGAACTTTAAAGTCAACTTTTGTGCCCTCTCATAAAATAAACCTGCAGTGCAGGAAAATAAAGTCCTTTTGGTCTAGAATTAACCCCCCCCCCAAATAAATACATGCATATAGAAAAATACAGAAAAATTGACAAAATGATTTTAAGGTTTAATAACACTTTTTAAGTGAATTGAAATGAAACATTGAGTTGTATAAGAAAAAGCATTGAGTAAATAAAACACACATTTTTAAACGCCACTAAATGCTTTGAAATGATTTATTTTAAAACATTTTATTCAGGAAAAATGTCAAATTATTTCTAAATAATATACCAGTAAATATGCAGAAATTTGTTTATAAATATAACAGGCGTTTATGAAAGAAACAAGTGAAATACCTGGTACCTAAAACAGTGATTTACAGATTAAAAATAAACGGCATCCTGTAAATGTTGAATTTAAAAATAAACTATTGTAAAGCCTATTTTTTTAATATGTATACTGTACGTACTTTATTAGAAGGTCATTTAAACCAAAAATTGCAATTGTTGTATCCTGAAACATTCAAATATGACTTATTTTTTTATCATAAACACACCTCATTTTTTTGTCATATTTGTAAGCACTTGCTAATAGAGAAAACATGGTATATGCTGTCTTTTTTCAGAAAAGAAATGCAAATTTACCATTTTTTGATAATCTGGGTGTGGGATTAATTTTGGCGGATTAAAATGGTGGCAGATGCAGAGCCCTGTTTTTAAAGAATTTTATTCCATTTTTTTGTTAATCCAAACCATGTGACCGATCTTACTGAGCTTGTTCAGTATTAATGAAGTCGGTACATATGCTACATTAGCTAAATTTCAGGTCAATTAGATGAACAGTTCTGAAGAAAATGATTTTTTAGTGTTTACTTTTTTATAATTTCTGGAAAATGTAATATGCTGGTAGAGGTCACATGACCATGTAAAGTTTTTATTTGTGAACTTTGTAGTCCATCTGCCATTGATGACATAAATTATGAATCATCATGTACATGAAATTTCATATTGATATATAGTTCCTGTGAAATTGATTTTTAACCCGTTTGAACACCATAATTTTTCTCGCCAACATTTTTGGGAATTTTTTTGTCCATTTTTAGTATTTTTCTATAATATGTTAGATCATTTTAGACTAAATTGACCTATTTTCCTATTGCCTGTTGGTATTTTAAAAATGTCATATTTAATTTTGTGAATAATGATGAAATTTGACTTTGCCACTCAAAGGTTAAACATTTTATGTTATTTTTTTGTTAATCCAATATGGTAACCAAGCCATGTGTTTGATTTAATGTATCACACCAAATTGTATGCGAATCCAATAATAAATTCAGTTAAAAATAGGTAATTAGTTTTACATTTTTTATATTAAATTCAAGATAGTCAACAGAACATGTAATTACCGGTAATGCATTCAGACTTGCGTCCACAAACCTTATTAATCAGATGACACAACAATTTAAAGTAGGAGCAATGATTTTAACAGAAGCTTTTAAAGTTTGCATTAAATTCAAAATCGTTGCCAAACGAATCTCAAACTTGAATGCACATGGTACATACAGATGCTAACAACCAAATTTTCGATCAATGTGTTCAGTGCTTTTAAAAAAAGTTGTCATTTTTTATCTTGGCAGCCCAAATGTTGAAAAAGTACAAGAAATCTAATCATTCTTAATCTTTTCACCATCAGTTCCCTCTTTTCATCACAAACAGTCCTGTTTATAGCCTGCAGTTTCATTCAGAAGATTGTGACAAAAATAGCCAATTTTTTTTAGTAAAAACTGAAAATTGACTCAAATTTTGTCTGTTGGCTCCAAAATTTGGGTTCATTTCCAGAAATATTGAAGAATATAATAATCAAATGTAGAAAAAAAGTCTGCTGGTGAAAAGGTTAAATCCAAGATGGCCACCTGAACATGCATGTGACCAATCATGTTGGGCTATTCATAGTTTGAGTAACCTAACATGTTGATTAGGTAAGTTCCTAAAAAACATTTCATGCCACTTTTTATCAATCAACTATTTTTTAAATTTGGGAAGGTTAAAAATGTAGAGCACACTTTCGTAAAATTTTGTGAACCAAACTTTCTTAGTATTGCCGTGGGAACCACTTCTTAATTGTATATATGAGCACATTGTCACAGACACTACAAACATTTAAAAATATTACTGTAAAATATAAAAAATCTGAGCATCATTAAACTATAAATAAAAGATTTTTTTGCATGAGTCCAAACAAAATAATGTAACAAATTTATGAAATTCTTACATATTTGTTTTCATATAACATTTCTGTTAAAATTAAACTCTACTTTATACAGAAAAATTTCAACTTGTTTTTCTGCAAAGAAAGTTTTTGACAGTAAAAAAGATAAATAGATAAAAAACTTATTATGACTATAATCTCTATAATAATTTCAAACAAATAATTTTGTGATTTTCATTTATTTGTATCAATTCTGTTTATATTTATTTATAGACTTCTAAACCTCGGCAACCATCAACAACACATCTGTATCAAGATCCTATCTAGAATGTTGGTGCCATATGGTTCAACTTAATTCTCTTTTAATATATTTTTACAGGTTACCTCTAATGATATTTGTCTCAATTCAAGTTTGGTTGTTATATAGATTGGTATACGGTGGTCAAAATTACAGAAAGTATAGTAGAAAATAAACATAAATAAACAGCTCTGTACTGATTACACATACATGTGAAATATTGGGATGATATCAGGAAAGCAAACTATACAATAAAATGTTATAACAAGTCATTGTCAATGACAATTTAAGTACCAGCCCAGTTTTAAGTGATGTTAACATTAGTGCCAAATAATTATTTACACTTGCGTAACAGACACAGTACAAAGTTGAGCCAGTTTATTTGTGTGATTCCTTCTTTAATTCTGCCAATGACATTCATAATGCATTTTTAGCACAAAAGTGATGATCAGCCATCTTGAATCAGATTCTGAAACAGATGTATAGTCAATTGTGTTACAGGATGTATGTGTAAAACTAGAACATGATCAGCCCAACTATGTTAGCATTATGGCTCCCAAAACAATATTTGTTAAAAACAAAATGGCCATCAGTCAGCCATTTTAAATCAAATATTGAATGACATAGATCAAAGACCTGTTGTGTTTAATGAACAGACCAACTTGCAATAAAATATGTACATGCTCAACCAAAATCCATTTTTTAAATTGCAGAAATGCTTGATTTTGAAGAATTTTTAGCACTAAAATGGTCGCCATTCGACCATCTTGAAATAAATGATGAAACAAATGCATGTGCACATGTATGTGAAGTTTGAATTAAATCAGCCCAAGCATGAGATACATGTGTGAACATTATAGACTACGTCTATATGGTGACTGAATAAAATGATTTTGATCAGTCACATGGTTTGGCCTTTTGGATTTTCGGCAAAAATTTTGAGCATTTATTTTTCCTGAATGCTTTAACCAATTGTGCTTGTAATTCTCATGAGAAAAAAAACAAATAATTTTGATCTTGGATCTTTCTCATTGCCTCAGTGAACACTGCTGAATATCATTGCCAAACTTGCTGTTCTTATTGATCTTAATTTGAGATAATGCATCTAACTTTTAGAATTTTGATTGGTCAACTGGTTCAGCAGCCGTAGTGCAGTAGAATCATATCAGAAGTTGCCATTTTGAAGTTGCCTTTCTAGAGGTGTTCATATATGAGACACCTATTTCATGAATAAAACATGTCAGCAGTCACATGACTTTTCCTACATTATTTGATTTAAAAATAAATCACGGCGAAGAGAGAAAGCACATTTATGCTATTTTATAATGCTGTGATTGCAATAAACATTTCCATTGGAAAATAAGGAACAGAACAACCGGAACTAAAGTTGTGGTGGTTTTTGGAAAAATTCTCGAGCATGCTTAATGGCTGTAAGAGGTGAATTTATATTTTGATAACACTATAGCATTTATCGACCAATTGCGAATAAATACCAATGAGATTTGTATATATGGCAAAGTGAAGACAGCGGCTGGCCCGGGGTGAGAAAATTTACACATCAACAAGATTTTAATTTTGGTTCCTTGATTGATATTTATTGTACACGTGCATTTCTCTGATATGATCATATAATTATTAACAGTTTGTATAATAGTTATATTTTATTGACATAATTGACAATGTAAATTATGTTTATCAATCAGTTATAACATTAGTAACTTGCTTGTAACTGTAAATGCTGCTTGCAGCTTTAATTATTATTAAACATTTCTTTACAAAACACTCTAAACATACACCACAGCTCATTGTAGAAAAAAACTACAATTAAAAAGTTTAAAGAGCACATGAGGTAATGTTCAGTGAAAAGGTTTAAAGTAGCTGGCTCCATACTACTGGTGCACAAACAGAAAATGCCATATGTTTTATTACATATTCAGGGAACGAATCTTAAAGGGGAGCCTGCCCAAGGAATCATGGGACACTATTGTTTATGTTTTTTACAAGGATATTCCATGGAAGGTACTCCATTAGTATACCTTCCATGGTTAATCTATTTTTTGTTATCTATTGTAATTTTAATCCAGAAAGAAAATTTGTTGGGAGATTAGCCATAATTGGGATGACCCTTTGTCTTCTCAATTGAATGTAGACCTCGAGTTTGGACATACAAGTCTACCAGTATGTGCCCATCCTATAGGTATTCCATAGTAGGTACTAACGTTAGTACCTTCCATGTTTATTCATAGGGGACATATACAACTGAATTAGGGGTGAGGGTGAGGGTATCACTATCAAATGTCCGAATCACCCCTGTTTTTCATAGACCACCAATCTCAAAATATACTGACCTATAAATCCCTCTGCTCTTGTTATTAGCACTGTATTACTAACATCGCCCGGTGAAGTGCGTCATTGTATAAGTATCGATGAAAATAGTGTGCGTCATGTACACACAACCTCGTTCAACTACCGTACTGCGCCCCCAAGTTCTTGTTCGAAAAGACTTTTGTTTTCACAAATCAAGAAACGTAATAAAGAAACACTGCAAAAGTGCAGTAATATACGATATGTATTATAATGGCACATATATAATATTAGAAAATGGAAAATATCAATAACTGAACCACAATAATTTAACACATATAACGTTGAAGGGAGCAACTGTGGGCGCGTAACATCTCCGAATGTATCCCTAGTCAGCCATTCAGTCATCTGATTGCCTCGCTAGTTTGCAACATCCCAGCGACACACGCACATACAATTAGACGCACTAAACCATTCGGTGAAGTGTACGACTAATAATAGCTGTGTGTTCGTACAGACTTGGAGTACCTTATGTTACTACCTTCCTTCAACCCATGATATTGTGCTCATTGTATATTGGTACTTATGAATTTCATTTTATGTTGGAGTTCTTTCACAACCTGCCCCCTGAAGAACAGTTCACTGCACTGTTTTTGTGGATTAGTTTATTTTTATTCCTTCCTTATAAGTGTAATAATACTGTATACTTTTACTATTATCTGTAACCATTGCCACTCTTTCCGGGGAGTGAGTAAGTGTTAATATATAAATATCGTGAGGGCGCTATTTAGTGAGGTCAGGGGGCAAGTACTCGTTGGATTTTGCAATATGGCCACCTCCTTGGAAGATATTTTACAGAAATTACTTGTTCCCGACAACGCTGTAATTCAACAAGTGAGTAGAAATGTATCGTGCAGATGTCAAAATCATATGTTTGCAAGTATTTGGTATACCAAAACTCGCATTCTAGTCTATAATGTGCGGAATGTCAGTGCAGTCGGTACGGTCCGTCGGCACCATGTGGTAACATCCCTTTATCATGTACGATTACCACGTTCGCTTGTAACATAAAGGTATATACGACTTTTATCAAACATCGGGATATTCCCAGTCCATCTGTGTAGTAGGAATGGTACAAGTTAAGAAACGTCATACACAGAGGTACAATAATGCGTATGTACCATTTGCTTA